TGTACCACATTTTAAAAAATCCATTCACCTATTAAAGAACATCTTTGTTGCATCCAAGTTTTGGCAACTGTGAATAAAGCTGCTATAAACATCCCATACAGGTTTTTCTTGGTGGTTATAGTTTTTCAGATCCTTTTTTTTTTCAATACCAAAATGTGGTTAGACTGTCAATTTTGTAACAAATTGCCAAACTTTCTTCCAAAGTGCTGTACCATTTTGCACTCCTACCAGCAATGAATGAGAGCTCCTGTTGCTCTATATCCTCACCAGCATTTGGTATTGTCAGCGTTTTGGATTTGGTCATTGTAATAGATGTGTAGTGGTATCTTATGGTTTTAAAACCATAATAAGGTTTTATGGTTTTAATTTGAAATTCTCTAATGTGTGTGCGTGTATGAATGCATACACATATCTACCTAAACACTCTCTCTCTCTCTTTATATATATATATATATACATATATATATACACACACACATATACAGATAAATATTTTCATTGTTATGTATATCTCTGTATCTATAGCTAGTCTAGTATATGTATACATATACACACACAGCTAGACTAGGTATATATATATATATACACACACATATATCTTTATCTCTACATCTATCTATAGACTTGATAGAATAAAAAAATTTATATTTATTTATTTATTTATTCTGAGACAGAGTCTCACTTTGTTGCCCTTGGTAGAGTGCTGTGGTGTGATAGCTCACAGTAACCTCAAACTCTTGGGTTTAAGTGATTCTCTTGCCTCAACTTCGCAAGTAGCTGGACTACAGGCACCCACCACAATGCCCAGCTACTTTGTTGTTGTTGTTTTCACTGTTGTTTAGCAGGCCTGGGCTGGGTTCAAACCCACCAGTCCTGGTGCATGTGACTGGAACCCTAACCACTGAGCCATGGGCACCAAGCCAAAAACAAAATTTGACATTTTTAGTGAACAGCTAGCATTCTGATATACTTTGTTAATAAAAGTCATTAAGACTATGAATTTTGCTCTGAGTACTGCTCTAGCACAGTAGATTCTGGTATGAAGTATTTTAATTATCATTATTTTCTAGGCATTATGTAGTTTTGGTTTTTGAAATGTCAAGGTGGTAGGGTGATTTTTTTTTTTTTT